ATCCCTTCTCCTCCATTCTCCTCTCGGGATCTTGGGCACGCACGCACACACGCCCGGTGTGAGTTTTAAGCCACCAGGTCCAGGACACGAACCGCAATTGAGTGGTGAGGTTTCTAAGAGTCATGTCTGAAGAGAACACTTCAAAGAGGAGATGTTGGGGCTGGCAGGTAATGTGGTGGTTAGAGGCACTGGATTCCCACATGGCTGGTTGCAGTTTGAGTCCCAGACCTGGCAGCTTACTTTCTGGCTTTCCCTCTCTCTCTTTCTCTCTCTCTCTGTCTCTCTCTCTGTCTGTCTCTGTCTGGTCACATTAAAAAATAATAATAAGGAACCAGCAGTTGGCATAATGGCTATGTCGCTGGACTCTCATGTAGTCAACTGCTGTTCGCGTTCCGGACCCAGCGGCTTAAACTCACGCCGGGCACATGTGCGTGCGTGCCCAAGATCCCAAGAGGAGAATGGAGGAGAAGGGATTGCAGGGTGGCCATTCCCCCCTAGGGGGCGATTTCTTACTTTCTATCTCTCTGTCTCTCTCTGTCTGTCTAGCGAGAGCACGTGCCCTATAGCAAAAAACATCTCCAAAAAATTAATAATAATAATAACAAATGGAAATAAATAATTCTTTAAAAAATGAAGTGGGGATGTCTATTTGGGAAAAAAAGAAAGAAAAGGAAAAGCATACATAGGCTGTTATTCACTATTTAAACAGCTGTCAGAAGACAGGACCACAGAGTTTCAAAAGGATACACAGCAACATGGATTAGAGAAACAAAATATGTGTAAGAAAAACAGAAATCTCAAGCATGATATGCCACTAGAAATGTTACCTGAGCTCAGTGGAGGCCTGGGGGTTGTGATGTCTGAGCCTGAGCACCTGCTGACAGTTGTCACGTGTGAAAGTGGACTTAGTGCTACCATTTTTTCTGATCTTTCAAAAGTTTAGGATTTGGGGAACCAGCAGTTAGCGTAACGGCTATGTCACTGGACTCCCATGTAGTTGACCGCGGTTCACGTCCTGGACCCGGTGGCTTAGAACTCACGTCGGGCGCGTGTGCGTGTGTGCCCAAGATCCCAAGAGGAGAATGGAGGAGAAGGGACTGTGGCGTGACCATCCCCCCAGGGGGTGATTTCTCGCTTTCTGTCTCTATGTCTCTCTCTGTCTGTCTGGCAAGCGCACACAAGCGCACGCGCCCTATAGCGAAAAACCTCTCAAAAAAAAAAAAAAAGTTTAGGATTTGTAGTCAGAGAAGAGACTCTCAGTCCAGGTGCTGAGTAATGGGAAATAATCAAGAGAATACTGAATGACAATATATGAGAGATGTTAGAGAACAGATGTTCTCCTTGAGCGTAGATGTTGAACCAAACTATATTACAATTATACCTTCACATCGGAATAGTAGTTTACAGTTTACACAATGCTTTAGTATCATCTCTTGTTAAAAATGATTAGAACAGTTCTTTGAAGTAGAAAAGTAGGTATTTTTATTTTACAAATGAAAAAGCTGAGTATCTGAGATATTAAATAACTCACACAAGGTCGTCTTGGAAACTGAGCAGAACTAGGAACCGGATGACTCAGGGCGTCTGACTCGGAATTCCAAACTCTTTCCACAGCTACTTCCTTGTCAGGTTGGAGAGCTGCAAGATTCCATTGCTAGTTATACTGGCGACTGGGTCTGCTCATTGCTGTTTCCTGTGGTCAACCTGCTCTCCCTGAGTCCTCTCCTGCACATTTCCATATTCCCGAAATGCCTCCCTATCCCTTCCACTGCCTCTGAAAGCCCTCATCCTTCATGATCCTGGTTGAATTTCTCCCAATCTGACCCTGTTAGCCATGTGGACCAACTCTTAGTGCTCTCCAATTGGACTCACCTTCATTTTTTTTTTTTTTGAAAGAGTTTTTTTTTTTGCTATAGGGCACGTGCACTCACCAGGCAGACAGACAGATAGAAAGCGAAAAATCACCCCCCAGGGGGGATGGCCACGCCGCAATCCCTTCTCCTCCATTCTCCTCTCGGGATCTTGGGCACACACGCACACGTGCCCACATGCCCAGCGTGAATGGAAGCCACTGAGTCCGAGACTCGAACCATAGTCAACTACATGGGAATCCAGCGACATAGCCATTATGCCAACTGCTAGTCCCCTCACCTTTGGCATGTATTTGTGCATTTTTCTGTCTTCTCTATATCTTCTACATATTTGTACAAAAACCTGTGTTAATCCAGGAACAAACCACACACATGCACATGTGTGCACATAGACACACATACAAACAAAGTTAGTACTTGATCAATGAATCACTAAATGATCATAGTTTCTGGACCTTTAAGTTGATGAGGAGCAAAACAATCTGTTCTCAACCATGGTTTCTAGTTCGTAGTCATCTCTGGTTGTTTTTTTTTTTTTGAAATTTTGACTCTGGCAAAAGCCATCCAGGTAGGCTTGTTCCTGCATGTCTAGTACAGGGAAAACAGTAAAGAAGATCTGGTTCGTTGTACTGCAGGCTCATCAAAGTCAGTTTGGAATAGTGCAATTATTTCTGGAGTTGAGAACAACCCTATCTGGGCAGAACACAGACACACACACACACACACACACACACACACACATGCAAAATTTGTGGAGAAATTGCTGACTAAGCAAAGCTTTCAAATGACTGAGTTCAGATAAAACATGGCTTTTTAAAATGTGAGCTCTGCTGACAGTTTTTCCTTGTTGACCAGACAGATATCAAGTACAAGGAGGACATTTTCTCATGCACTCTATTTAAGCCTGGACAGTCAAATATCAGTCAACGTACAATGAATGATTACCACTTGCACCCTATCATCTAAAATGAAAGACGAAAACGTGCAGAAAATGAAAACCATGCACTGCAATAGGTCAGGGAGGAAAAATACCCCAGGATTATTGCCATATCCAGCCAAGCAGAGAGAAAACTATTTCTGTTCTGTTTTGGTGATCTGGCTGATCAAATGACCTGTTAAGAATATTTAGTAGAACTAATGTTCCAATGCTTTAATCTCTCTAGACAAGGTTCATATTTGTGTGGGTTACTTATTCTCCTTTTGTTAACTAAGTCAATAATCAGAATCAGCAGGTTTGGAGTCAGATTGGCAGGGATAAGTAGCCTGGCTCAGGAGACGTGACCATAAAAGCCCCCGGCTGGAAGCAGGCATCACAGAAACCCACTAGCTCTGGCAGCATGGCTTCTCATCGTCTGCTCCTCCTTTGCCTGGCTGGACTGGTATTTGTGTCCGAGGCCAGCCCCGCAGTGAGTATCTGATTCTGCGACATTCCTTTAATACATTTCAGATACACCAGACAAAGTAGCAGGGGCTGACTTTTTCTAGCTTTGCCAAAGCTTTTGTTACTAGGGCAATGGTACTCAGCGTCTATTTTGAACATCATTGACTGAAACCACAAAAAGAATAAAGTTCTGCAGAGTGCACTGAGCTGGGCCTTGACCTTTGGGTGCTCCTTCCTATTGCTTTGGTGCATTGGGTTTGCAGTGCCTGGCACCTTGATGTCCTCAGATAGATGACAGAAATAAAGATATATCGAAAACACTATTAGTACTGAAGAATTAACTAGCACTACACAGTGGGTCAAGAACAGTCTGACGTTAGTTTACAACACCTAGTAAGAGGGAATTATGACAGCAACAACTGAGCAGGATGATCTCAGGAAAAACGGGTTGGTCCTAAAAGATCATTACATCTTTCAGTAATTCCATTCAAATGGAGAGGCTTAACAAAGTAAGTGTTCTCAGCGGGCCCATTTTCTCCCTTAAGGTTCATTATACACATCCCAGTTCAATAGAAGCATGACTGAAGGCAAAAACCATTCTTGCTTCGGAAACAGTAATGTCTGTGGTACACTGAGCAGGGAGGCGCATTAATTGTCAACACTTACGTTACTGGTAATGGGATCAGCGTGTGTTTCCTGCTTCATTTGAGATTTCTAACACAGGAAAGAATAAATCCTTTCACTCTGAACAGTGTTACTGACTTCTCACTTGTCTTCTACAGGCCCATGGCACTGGTGAATCCAAGTGTCCTCTGATGGTCAAAGTCCTAGATGCCGTCCAAGGTGCCCCTGCTGTTGATGTGGCTGTGAGAGTGTTCAAAAAGGCTGCTGATGAAGTCTGGGAGCCGTTCGCCAATGGGTAAGCTGCCAAAGAACCTGCCAGATAGGAGCATTGGTTATATCTTCCCATTCACCCACGCACTTGCTAGACAGAGGCTCCCATCATCCACTAAAAATCTACAAATAACACTACTAATGCTGAATTTTCATAAAAGCATCTCTTTGCAAAATGTATTTGGCGGGCATAGTTCATGATATTATATTCTGGCCCTTTAGCTAATCAAACTGTATTTATTGATTAATCTTTGAAAGGCTTGGTGAACAGCATTCTAATCAGATGTGATTTTTAAATCCTCTAGAAGAATCAACTAATGCTATAAAATAGGTCAGGAAGTAGTTGGACAGCATTAAAAACACGGGCAGTGTATTTCCCTGCAAAAAATGCCCTTGTCTCTTTTTGTTTAGCTGGAAGGTAATCAGGAACCTGGGCATCCTTTAAGGCAGATGATAGAGAAAAGAAGGCATATTTCCTCTACTCTAGAAGGGTTTGCAAGCCTCTGGGTCACAGATTTCTTTAAGAAAGTGATGGAAACTGTAGATTGCATGCTCAGAAAAATGTGTGTGCATATGCACACGCACAACGTATATGTACTCAGGAATTTTTCAGATACCCTGGTACCTCTGGGCATCGCCCAAGCTGAGAGTCCTTGTCCTAGAACTTCAGAAGAAATACATGATGTGCCCTAATTTATTACTGAAAGAGAAGGAATTCGGGGGTATTGCCAAGCACCTGTCGTAGTTTAATTACATTATCCAGAATCCAGGGCTTTTGTCTAATGGGTATTTCACAACACTGGGGAGTCTGAGCCCAGTAAGAAAATGCACAGTAGGGCATGGAAGGCAAGGTACAGCTACAGACTAATCTCATAATCACCCAACAGCAGTTGCAAAAATGACTTCTCACCCTCATTAGCCACTTTACAATTTTCATGGAGTTTTTCTACCTCCATTAACAAGAAGTTTAGAGGGACTACGTATTAGTAACCCAAACAAATGAACTGAAGGAAAAAACAGCCGAGAAAACCTTAGCACTTGCAGAAAAGGAACTGCTAAATATTTATGTCTCCTAGCAGAAAGATTTCTGTTGGGTTTTAATAGAACCTAAAGAACCACGTTGTGATTCTTCACCCGTGGTTGGGAAAAATATTTTCTTTGGTGTGTTTTTTTCCCTTTGATTTTCTTATTTCAATTTCTTTTATACATTCAATCACATGTTACTTAGCTTGCAAGGTACATATTCCAGCATGTGTACATTTCTCACCTGTCCAGGTAACAATACTATAAAGTTATCTTCAACAGATAATAACCCATTTCTTTGTCCCATAAATGACTTGCCTCTCTATTTTTCTCCTTAATGTCCTTCCTCAGACTCTACTCAGTTTTTATTTATTAATTTGTTTATGTTTATATAAAATGTCAAGCATAACGTGAAAAGTGGTTAAGCAAATATTCTAAGCAAAAAGTAGCATGGACACCAAAAATATTCAGATGTCTCTGTGAATTCTTTCTCTCCTGCACTAAGTCCAAAAAGGGCGGGAAAGGAAGTGCAAAGAAGGAATGTAGGGACACGGCGAGTCCCCCAGGGGGATGGCCATGCCACGTTCCCTTTTCCTCCATTCTCCTTTTAGCCTTTTGGGCATATACACGCATGCACCTGGTGTGAGTTTTTTAAGCCTTCGGGTTGGAACTCAGCCTGCAGTTAACTACGTGGGAGTCCAGCAACAGTAACAATTACACCATCTGCTGGTCCTGCAAGACCTCTTTTCTAAGCCCATATTTTACCTTATTTCTTCTCATAGAAATGAAATTGGGGGGAAGTTTCTACATTTTCCTGCCATTTAACTTTAGGCAGTTACCAGAGTTTTCCCCGAGATGTGTACATACATACACATACATGTACGGCACCTATAACACAAACACACACTTTTACACACGTGTGTGTGTGTGTGTGTGTGTGTGTGTGATCATTGGTATCCGTGGTGTGTTACTGCACCATGGAGTCCCTTCGCGCCTAACTTAACCTAGACTTTTGCACCTCCCAGGAAAACCAGTGACTCCGGAGAGCTCCATGGGCTCACAACGGAAGAGAAATTTGTAGAAGGGATATACAAAGTGGAATTAGACACAAAATCCTACTGGAAGAAACTTGGCATCTTCTCATTCCATGAATACGCAGAGGTGAGTGTATAAACCCTTGAGTTATGTTTTGGTCATTGCTTTTAATCCCAGGAAATACATATTCTGCACTTAACATCCCATGGAAATGTTCAAAGAAAGCGAGGAACCACCACAGATTCCCCTTCCCCTCCTACAATCAGTAATCTACCACATTCTGAGAAGCATACTTTCTCTGAGTTCAGTGAAAACTCATTTGATAACATCGCCTGAACTTCCATGACACTATTTATAATCTATCTGTTCTGCTTTATATGAATATTTATTTGTTTACTGAAAAAAATATTAATATGTTTGATTCTGAGGCAGCCCTTTGATCCCAATTAGGGTGTTATGTAACAAGAGCGATGCACCATTTTTCTTCTCTAAAACCCGAGCAATTCTTTATTCCAAAACATATCTGTCTCCCCTGGAGGTTTAGATAAATGATTCTTGGTAAGGCATATAGATGCAATAAATCAAAATAATAATGGAGATACAACAGATAACATTTACCAAGTGTACACTGTGTGCATGTGCCAGACACTACGATAGGTCCTCTGTATGTAGCCCATTTAATCCTCATGAACAATCCATTGAGATCAGTCTTATTATTAACTCCATCTACAGTTGAAAACAGTGAGACACAGGAAAGTTAGATAACTCGTCAAAGGTCGTGTGACCAATAAGCAGAGGAGCAGGAGCGATTCCCAATAGGACCCAGGCTGGGTTTGACTTGAACAGTGGTCTGCCACCCAGTGTGCCTGAGGAAGCTTTTTCCTGAGAGAAGTCAAGGAAGGAAGGAAGAAGGGAAGGAGGAAGGGAATAGTTACACTTGTAACCTTTGGTTTGCACTCTGTTTCTCTGCTGATGAAGTGGTAAGGATCCTCAAACAGTTATACATGGGCCCTATCCCCTGTCTTCTCCCTGTCTAATTCCTTGTCATTTAAAACAGAGCACTACTATTGGGAACCAGCAGTTAGCGTAATGGCTATGTCGCTGGACTCCCACGTAGTCGACCGCGGTTCGTGTCCTGGACCCGGTGGCTTAAAACTCACGCCGGGCGCGTGTGCGTGCGTGCCCAAGATCCCGAGAGGAGAATGGAGGAGAAGGGATTGCGGCGTGACCATCCCCCCTGGGGGGTGATTTCTCGCTTTCTGTCTCTATGTCTCTCTCTGTCTGTCTGGCGAGCGCACGCGCCCTACAGTGAAAATCTCTCCAAAAAAAAAAAATCTATAGTATTTCCATATACAATCAACAAGCAGACAGAGACAGAACTGAAGAAAATAATCCCATTTACCATAGCCACAAGTAATATGAGATACTTAGGAATAAAACTAACCAAGGAAATCAAAGATTTCTATAAGAAAAACTATGATAACCTTATAAAGGAAATCAAAAAGTACACAAAAAAGTGTAAGGACATCTCATGTTCCTGGATTGGAAGAATTAATATAATCAAAATGGCAATCCTACCCAAATTAATCTACATATTTAATGCAATCCATATAAAATTATGATATTCTTCACAGATCTAGAAAAGACAATCATAGAATTTGTCTGGAATTATAAAAGACCACATATTGCCAAAGCCATTCTGTGCAAGAAGAGTGGAATAGG